AATGAACTCTCATGTCAAAAGAGAAGGAATGCCATTGGTGTAAAAGTGTGTAAATAAGAACTTGATCACCAAAAATAATCGGTGTAATGCCATTCAATAAAATATTGTTCTGATGGGACTACAGAAAGTATGTTTTCTTTTGTTTTTTGGTACCGGGGATTGAACTCGGGTCCTTGCACTTGCAAGGCAGGCCACTGAACCAGTGAGCTAAATCCCTGGCCCGGGACTACAGAAAGTAATGCCTTATTTTATTTGAACTTATTTTATACATTTTATCATATTTATATGTAAATGTCTTATATTTGTATACTTACTATATTGTTAATTATGTGAGTTTTTTAACTTAAATTTGAAGTTTTCAATTTAAATTTCATTGATGCTCATTTACTAAGCATAATTGTACCCAGGCGTGGTGGCACACACCTGTAATCCCAGCACTAGGGAGGCTGAGGCAGGAGGATCACTGTGAGTTCGAGACTAGCATGGGCTACACAGTGAGTTCCAGAACAGTCCAAACTGCATAGTGAGGCCCTGTCTCAAAAAACCAAAACAAAAAGATTCAATGTATACAATATTCATTAGTTAAACAGAAAGAATATAATGCTAGCAATTACTTACAAATGGGTATGAAAAATCAACCTTCTTATCACTTACAAGAACCTGATAATTCAAAGAAATGTTACATTTAAATTAAGAATCAAAGATATGTTTATTATACTCTGTGATCCATAAGGAGACAAATATCCACAAAACCATACTTAAATTGGCAATTACCTTTTTCAAGATAAAATCTCTAAAAAATTTTTAAAGTCTGAGCAGATGAGATTGTCTAAGAGTTTGCACTGGATGAAAACATGAATTTGTAGAAAGAATGCATTTTGAGATATCAAAAAGTAAAATGATTTTACCATCACTTCCATAGATTAGTTTATCTAGTTTATGAAATTACTATTTTTATTATCCAGTAGAGAATGTGTAAGACCATTTGGCAAGGAGCATTTTCACAGAATATAATTATACATTCTGAAGAAATTGTTCTTGTGTTTCCTTCGAGAGCTTCCACCTCCCTTCTGAAACATAGTCTGTGGGTTCAGACAGCCACATGGATATTTCCTCAGAGAGTGAGTGCATGCCTCTTATCCTGACAGCAGAGCTGGGAAGAAAGGCAGATTTTTTCATAGCATCTCATAAAGAGAGCTGAAAGAAATAAAGTAGAATTTTCTCCTAAGCAGTGTCATGACCTTTTGAAATGTTCAAAATCCTCACACATTTTTCCAAGCAAGAAAAGTCAAAGATTTTGTTCTATGAGGATATATAAAAACCTCCTTTTCAGGTCTCAAAGACTGGAATTGTGAATTTTTGGGTTTGTTGTGACCTAGAAGAAGCAAAACTGACCTTCCTTAGATCTTGGGAAATTCCCGGTAAAGCTTTGTAAATTACTGTGGAGTGTGTGTGTGTGTGTGTGTGTGTGTGTGCATGTGTGTGTGTGTCTGTGTGTGTGTGTGTGTGTGTGTGTACATAGATACACAAGCATGAGTGATGGCCTGGAACATTTGTAATATTTTAAAGGAAGACATACTGTGTTTTGTCCATTGCCTCATTAGAGGTAGCAAAGGACAAAGCCTCTATGCATAGAGTCACTCCTCCCTTTTGTGTCACACCTTGTCACAGGCAACAAGTAGGGACACTAGGGTAGGGTGCTCCGGGCAGCCACCTTCCCTCTGGGGCCGGCTCTGTGGTGGTGAAAGACTCAGGCATGACTGAGTGAAGTCCCCCAGAATCTGGAGCCCACAAGCAGTCATTGCATGGGTGTGGTATGCAGTGATGATTTGGAGAGAGCAGAGAGCTTAGTCAGTAGAAGCGGAGGGCTGAGTTTGGCTTGGCTGCTGTGTTCTCATTCCCCGCACCTTCCACTCCCCATCATTTCTCTGGCGTGGGGCTGGTGCTCTTTCCTCTGCACTCAGGCCCCCAGCCCCAGGTTCTCTCAGGTGGTGTCCACTGTCCCCTCCCAGCACAGTTCAGCCCGGCCAAGTCCACCCAGCCTGCTCTCCTTCAGACTGCTGAGCTCTGCTCAGCCCTCTGCTTTCCCTCCCTCTCCAGCACAAGCTCTCCAGGATTTGCTCCATCTCACTACCAGGAAGAGTTCATGGCTCAGGCCTGGGGTGGATGCACTTCTGCTTGAGTTACTATTTGTCCAGCAACTTCCAAGTCCTGAATGTGCACCAGTTAGAAGTGTGTTTTGCATAGGCACTCATTTCAGTTGAATGACGCACACACAGGCATGCACACATCCGTAAATAAAAACCCTGAATCGGAGCTTAACCCACTTACCAACAATGTCACTCTCACATTGTCTCTGTCAACCAAAATTCACCAGGAAAGAGTTCAAGGGGGAAAAGAGGAGGCTTTGTTTTAAACACACACACACACACACACACACACACACACACACACACACACACACACAGAAACTGTTTTTCAAATCAGGGCAACAGAAGGGAGCAGCTCAGGAAGAGCAAAGCGGGAGCCGACGGACATAAGAACCTTGCACTTCATGTTGTGGAGTGTGTGTCTGGAAGTGCTCAGCTGATGGGCTAAATGTAGATGGCAGCTCATCACCAAGTCCAGGCAGCCGAAGGAGACTCTATGGACTTCATTTATCTTGGCAGTTGAAGGAGAAATGTGTCCATGCCACTGCTGTGCAGTTTAGTTCTTGGTTCTTCCAGGAACACAGCCTTCACATTGAAGCATGAAACAACAAGGACTCCAGCACAGATAACTCTTAAATAGGCAGATGGGAGCAAAAGCAGCTTTTAATGATGCCAGCTGCTCAGAGAGCGACTCCTGTCGGTCTGGAGAGCCCCAGTTGGAAGTTTGTGCTTCCTTGTATACCTCTTTCTACATCTATGAAATTTAATTCCATTGGTGTTTCCCTGGAACACAGCAAGCAAGATTTACACAAAGCAAAGCAGTGGAGAAGGGGACAGCAGAGTGCTGGCAGGACTTTCTGAGTCTGTTATCCTCCTTTGGTGACAATTACAGGTTGTCAGGAGCACTCAGGTGTGTTCTACAGAGAGCATAGTTACCTCGTTAGCCCATAGTTGCCTGATAACACAGATAACTCATAGTGGCTCGATTTCACATAGAAGGGTGTTCTCCTCTCTCAACATGACACTGAAGTCAGGCTCCCTGCTGAATTTAGGCCTTCTGGGATGTGCAACTTTTCCAAAAGTTCCATCCCTTTTCTTTTTCATTTGCTAAAACTTCTCACTGAACTCTGCCAATGAGAGTTCATTGCCTTCGAATGTGCCATCACCAGCGTTTGGCAGGCATTGGTTTATCAGCCCACACGAGGCAGCTGACACTGTGTATTGTACAGCTGTTACGTCCTCACTACATAGAAAGTTTCCAGACAGGGTGGCACTTTGTGGGCCACCACAGTCTTCACTGTACCTGATCATGGCTTCTGTATAAGCAATAGCCCAAAATGTTTTGTAGAGGATAGAAGGAAAAGGAAGAAGGGAGAGAGGAAGAGAGGGAGGAAAGGAGAGAAGAGGTAAGGAAGGAAGGAAGAGAAACCTCTGAAGATGTTAATTACACTCAGAAATTCATTATTAATGATGCTCATAATTAAGATTGTCTCTATTTAGGAAGTCAACAGACTGAACGTTCAAGCTATTTACAGGCAAACTTCCCGGTTGAAGTGGCACAGTTTGAATAACTTCATCATTTAATATAAATTTAGAAATCATCTCATGTGGTAAGAGAATCCAGAGTGAAATGAAGGGCAACTAGAACAAGACAGCCACTAAAGGACCGGCCGGGCTCCACCCTCTCTGAATATCGGGCAGAGCGCGTGGTGTCCCTCCAGAAGTGAAAATGTTTTGGCTCACGGTTCATAAACCTCTGAAGTGAAGTCTGCCCTTCCTGCGCATGCCACACACGTGTCTGTGGGCTGAATGCACAGAGAAACCCTGTTCACAGGGTACGTGGACACAGTCAGTGCTGAGAGCCAACACCTTCGAGCACCTCAGGGCTGTAAAGTGAAACAACAAGACTAGTGGTCTCATGACGCCAACATGCCAAATTCAAAAAGAAAATCAAATATTACATGAGGTGTAAGACTAATACTGTACACATTTATTATTCCAACATTCCCAGGTTGACTTGGAGAGAACATGTCTTCCTTATTCTAAGCCCAGTCTCTTAACTACTGACTATGCTACACAGCATCGTCACACTGCGATATGTGCTCTACACAGAGCGATGACGGAGAACAATGCCTTTCATGGAAGAAAATAACTTTTCCAAATCCTTTGCAAAACGTGTTGACTTTGGTTGCCTGAGCATAATTATAATTTAGAAAAATCAATACTTTGAAAGTGCAGATTTATTGTAGCTCCATCAAAAATTTTAAAATATTGCAACTGTTGGTTTTCTTTAAAATTTATTGTATTTCTTTGCACTCTCTTTCTCTCAGTTAAATAAAATACTTTTGTATTTTATACTTTATTTTGATGGAGGAGAGAGGAGAGCACATATCAAGAAATTATACATTGTTATTTGCTGAAATTTTACTACCTAACAATTATAATGTACTATGAAAATATGTAGTGTTCAGGAAGTGCCCATTTAATTATTTCATCTCATGAGGTTAGTTTAGTTGACTTAAAAATACTGTTAAATTTAGATTCACATGTTTAACTCCTCATAAGTTTTCTCAGAAACATCGCAGCTTTGGAACCATGGACTGTGGCTCTCCTCCACCATGAAAACTTGAGCCACTGGTGAGAAGGAGTAGAGTCACTGAGCAAACGCTGAACCAAGGATGAGCTCAGTGCAACTTGAAAATTGGTTCCTAACCTAGGCCCTGATGACTGAATTAACAGCAATAAATATGCAGCTCACTATACTTGATTTGAATACACTTGCGCATCGATTAGCAAAATAAATGTAAACATTAAAGCAACTACTTTAACAGAATTTACTCTTTTTTTCAGGTGCTGCAAATACATTTACTAGTGGACCAGCACCAGCAACAGCTTCCTCAACAAAATTATCTGTATCAACACCAATCTCCATCAGTGGGGTTACTGAACCAACATCAGAAACATCTCCTAAAGGTAGACCTAACTCTTCATTAAATGGATTTTATCTCTAACAAACAAGATTGGTAGAGCCTGTATAACTTAATACAAGAAGTAACCTGAAATCTTACATATAGGATTGTTATAAAGGTCTGTGCTATTTCACTATTTTGAGATCCCTACAAGATTTTGGGTTTCAACATAGATGTGGGATCTCAGCGGGTCTCCTTGCCAATATTCTTGGAGATCACTCCCTCTTTGAGAATGCTATTATTGTGAATGTTGTATACACAATTTATTTTTAGACAAGAAAGAAAACCAGGCCTAATTCATAAAAATATCTCACTGCTCTGGTTCCCCACTTGCACAGCAGGGCCAGCATGGCACACCTATGTTAAGAACAGATTGATCTGCTCATTGTTCTGTGCTGATAACAGATTTATTCTGTTGCCTTCAATGGCAATGTCATCATTTCTGTCACTGGACTGAGTGACAGCAAGTCTATCCAGCATATCTGGCTAGGTGTTAAAGGGAGTGCCTAATTATTCACAACAGCTTACAATGCCTTTAGAATCCTTCAAGTAAAACCCAAGCATGTGTCAGTAAAAAGCAAGTGTATGGCTCATCCTGTGACACACAAAAGAGAGGCATGTCACTTGGGTGCACTAATCAATGAGGGATAGAATGTATAACTGCTCATTGATTTGCTTGAGATAGAAACTCTTGTTAGAATGCCAAGGCCACAGAAAGACCGGAAAAGCAACAACCTTGAATGAACAGATGGCTGAAATTCTTCTTCAGCTCTCCATTCCTCCCTTAATTTTTATTGTGGGACAAAGCATGCAGATCAACAAAGGCCAGTCCTTTGGGCTAGACTGGGGTGGAGATGCTCAGAGATTAAAGTGCATGATCAAAGCCTACTATTTCTGCAATGTTTGATTCTGAGATAAAAGCAAACCAATCCTCCTAGAACTTCTCTATCAAGTCCTGGGAAACATACAATGAGAACAGCTTGGGGTGTTTTAGTCCCAGAATATTGTACAACCTCTCTTTCCAGCCAAGGGAAACTCCAAAGAACACAGGTAGGAAACCATGGCTCAAGATACCTCCAGCCACCTGCCTCATACTGTAGTTTCAATTTTATTCAAATCCAAAGTCTTCTTTCTAGGCTACAACCCCTTTTTTTGAGAGAGGGTCTCACTAAATCACTAAGTAGCCTAGATTGGCTTTGAACTTCCTGGCAAAGAACAATGACACAAGTGTGTTCGAGCAGAGAAGGGATACTTTAAGGGGGTTAATGGCAACATCTTTTTTACCATAATAAAATTTTTTAAATTTAAGCATTCACTGTTGTTTCTGATCACTTCTTGTATTTGCCCCCCTCCACGTTGCAGAATTCTAGGCCTAAAATTGACAATTCAATGATAATTTGGTAAAAGTATATTAACTTTGCCATCAGTAATGCCCCCATAACTGTGAACACGGAGGTGGGTGTTGACATTGCATGGAATCCCACATCTCTTAGCTCCAGGGTCCACACCAGCATAGTCCAAACTGAGAAGCCAGGCATCAGGGCAGCGGCTGTGTGCTCAGCACAGTGGGGCAGCACTGGGGACAGGGTGGGGGCTGGAGCTTGTAGTGCAGGTGCTGCCTGGTCGCTGGCATGTGGGGAGGCCCAGGTGAGCTGGTCTCTGTGTCTCAGCACTGTGCTTCTTCTGACAGGAAGCACAGCATGCAGTACTGGAGGGGATAGAGAACTTGTCTTAAGCTCTTATGTTCTACATAATGCACCGTGTACTTGGCTTCCTAATCTCACCCTGTGAGGGTTTATGTTTGGGGCAGTTGCGTACGTTGCCCCATCTTCCAAAATAACCGGTTTAAAATGACACAATAATGTCAAAACAGTGTCTCTGTAGGGAAGCAGTGTCTGTTTTCCTCCCTCATGGCCAATACAGTCCTCCTAGCCACAGTGAAAGTATTTTCCAAAGAAATAACATTCATTGCTTCTTTATTTTCATTTTAAGGCCTCCAAATCACATTGTCTTTGTTTAAAGGGCAAAAGCAGTTGATTTTGTGCTGTTGTGTCTATGGAAAGCACATATATGTTCTTTCTTTTGCCAATGGCAGAAATGCTGCCATCAGAAAAGTAGAAAAAAGTGCAGTTAAGAGGAGTGTTCTTCTCCAGCCCCATAGCTCTGGGGGACAGAGCTGGACAGAGCTTTGCAGGAGGAGAACCTGCTGTCAGAGATTTATTTACCAGCAAGGGACAAGGGTCCGGGCTTTCCCAGTGGACTTTGAGTCACTGCTCACTGTACAAACATCAGGCTGCTGGAGATAAAATTCGCTTCTGACAGACACTGTATGTCACCATCAGAACACAAACACCTGAGGCATAGGAACCAACCTGAAATTTTGTTTGTAAATGTGATTATTATTGAACATGATTCAAAGTCAAATGTTTTAATAGTAGAATGATACTGAGGGAATAAACATTTCTCACCACTGGTATCAAAGCTCCTGGTGCTGAGCAGGCACTGACCTCACCTGGATCAGGAGAGGAGCAGGTGTGTGGGCTGTGGTTCAGGGTGCTGCACATGACCAAGGACAGGCATGGGTTTTCTGTGTGGACTATGCATAGCAAAGGGTGGAGGGCAGCGTTAAAAGTTGCTCTTGCATGTTTTCTTGGATGATTGGCTGGAATTAAAATGGCTTGACTACCTTGTAGTCTTTCTTCTTTAATCCATTGTCTTTCTGTTAAATTCAAATAGAAAATGACTCCCCCGGGATACCCATGCATGTGAGCCATTGGGTTCTCCTTTGCACAGAATTTTGATGTGCTAAAGTTGATGTTTCACTTTATGTTTATCATCACAAAGTATTAAACGATTACAAGTTAGACATTTTCTTGAAACTTTGGCCTAAATTCAGTTTAATCCATCTCTCAAAGGTTATTTTAGAAAGTGCTATAAATACTAACAGTAAACAATTTTACAGAGTAGAATTATCATATTCTATTGGCATAATCTAAACATTTGTTTACTCAAACCGCTGCAGGAACCTTAAAATAAGTAGCTTTTAATGTTTATACTAACTTCAATCCGTTTTCCTGCTCTCCAGCTATTTGAATGTACTTATCTATTTTTTTACACATAACATTTACAGAAACCATCGTTATCAGTCACTGTGACATTTTTCTCACAATAGTAGTATGCATCTATACTTCAGAATTTTAATATAGGTAATGGGAAATTTTCACCATAATTTGTATGAAGAATGCTTATTCATATCTGAAAGTGAATATTCATAAATTAACAATAGACCTAAAATAGCTTCCCTGTTGTCACCACATACACACATACACACACACACACACACACACACACACACACACTCACACACACACAAATGCCTTCTGAGTGAGGTGGTGGATATATTGATTAGCTTGACTGTGGCAATGGTTCCACGAAGCATGCATCTATCCAGCGTCACCCTGTACACTTTAAGTCCAGTATATGTGCCGCAGAAGTGAGCACATACACTTTACATCAAACTGATTTATTGTCATTTGAATCTAAAACTGGGGAAAAAGTATCACTTATAAATATCATGGCACTGATATAATATCACCACAATATCACTATTCACACACAAGTTTAGGAACACAGGGGCTGGGGATTTGGCTCAGTGGTTCCGCCGCCTGCTTTACAAGTGCAAGGGCCCAAGTTCAATCCCTGGTACCAAAAAATAGGACAAGGGCCGTGGTTCAAATGTTCAAATGTTCAGGTGGTTCTACACCTGCCTTGCAAGCACAAGGACTGCCGTTCAATCCACGATACAAAAAAGTGGGGAGGGGGACACAGAAATTACTATTTACTTCCTTGGTTTTGAATAGATCAAGGCAATGAGGGGATTGAGTCCTCATTATAAATGAGCATTCTCAGCTGCGTGTGGTAGCACACACCTGGAGTCCCAGCTACTTGGAAAGCTGAAGCAGAAGGATTGCAATTTAAGGCCAGCCTGGACAACTTACTTCAAAACAAAAGGGGCTGAGCCAGGCGTGGTGGCGCAGGCCTGTAATCCCAGTACTTGGGCAGCTGAGGCAGGAGGATCACTGGGAGTTCAAGACCAGCCCGGGCTACATAGTGAGTTCCAGGTCAGTCTCAACTACATAGTGAGACCCTGTCTCAAAAAACAAATAAACAAACAAAAAAAGAACAAAACAAAAGGGGCTGGAGATGTGGCTCAGTGGTAAGGCACCCCGGGGTCATTCCCTAAATCCTAAGTGCCACAAAAAATAGATATTCCTATGTGTTTTATGAGAACAGAATGTTAGAGTATGTATCCAACTGATGGGTTGTGCTTATAAACTGTGTACACACAAAGTAGATCTTCCTGGACAGAAAGATCTTTTTTCTTCGTTGATTGTCATATCCTCGGTGTCCTTCTTTAAAAAAAGTTATTTACTAAATGCCAAGAATTATTCTTGCTATTACTCAGAATAAAAAGATAGTAAGAGCAGGACACTCCCCTTAAGACTCTAGGCAGGGCTGAAGAATGTTTCATGAATGAACAAATAATTACAAGGGCACACATTCCTTTATGACTCATGCTTATTTGGAATTTTCATTACCAGAGCTAAATTAACAAAACAGCACACAGTTCATACCAACAAATGGTATTCCCAGATCTTGTTGACCAGGACATTTTCTTCCATAGGGGAAAATAAAGCAATTTTAAGTGGCTGGAGTTTAGAGATTTTACAGTACTTTTCTGCATGTTTAATGATACCCAGACAACAGTCTGCAAGAGAAATTTGCAATCTGGATCTAGCATGCAAAAATGTGTGTGTGTGTGTGTGTGTGTGTGTATGTGCGTGTGCGAGTGCACATGCATAAGGGCCTGCTCATGCGTGTGTTTAAAAACGGGCCACCCACCCAAGCATCCAACACATACATTCCTCTTTGGACAAAAGAGCAGGAAAATAGAAAAATTAAAGATAGATGAAAACTAACCCTGTTCCTTCACAGAGGAATCCCACCCCCCCTCACCCCTCAGCCGTGATCTGACCGACTTACTTGTTGCTTGACACGTGAGAGGAGACTGTGATCAGTAACGATGGCATCTCTTACCTAACTAGGGATGACCAACACCAGCACAACTGGGGCCTCTCCAGTTTCTTCATCAACAGCAAGGGGAAGTGCAGGTGAGTAGATTCGTGTTGCCGCCATTGAAACTATATCTAGTATATATCTAATATATAGTTCACATGCCATAATTTCACCCCTTTAACATGCACAATCCAGAGAAGTTGTAAATTATCATCAGCGTGCCATCTTCCAATCCATGGGCATGGAGTGCCTTCCTCTTTATCTAAGTCTCTAATTTCTCTTCACTATAGTTACAGTTTTCGGGGTAAATCATTAGAATTTCTTTAATTCAATTTATTCCTTATGTTTTATTCCATGTTTGCTTTTGTAAATAAAATCACTTTTTCTTAGTTTCGATTATGTTCGAAGCTACTTACAGAAATACACGACTTTCCTGAACTCTTACTGGTTCTGACGTGTGTGTGTGTTTCCTAGGGTTTCCTATACCCAGTAGAATATCATCTGCAAAGAGAGGTACTTTTCCTTCTTCATCTCAATGAACACCCTTTCATTATATTTTATTGTCTGATCATTCGGGCTAGTTTCCCCAGTGCTATGCAGGACAAAAAGAGAGGAGGGAACATGCTTGCTTTCTTCCTTCCCATAAGGAAAGCCTGAGAGCGCTTCCCCGATATGAATGGTGTTAGTTATGGGTTTTTCTTTAGATGCTTTTCACCAAAGTGAACAAATTCACTTACTACTCTGTCGATTGTTTTTATCACAGATCATTGAAATTTTTTTTTATTGAGTTTATTGGTACATTTAGGGATACAGTACAGTTACATTCATTGTTTTGATCATGTACCTTTACATGGCAAGTCTTGATTCTCATTTTTTCCCCTTACCTCTGCCCTCCCTTCACCCCCTCCTCCCCTCCCCATCTACAAACACTTTATTTTCATCTTTTCATTCTCTCACATTTTTTTCTTTTCCCTTTTTGTTCTTCCCCTACGTATCACACCTTCCCTACACCTTTAGCTCCTTTCCTCCCATTTCTAAATGTCAGTAATCTTATTAGAATCTTATGCATTGTTGCAGAATATTCACACCAGG